CCGCGGGGCCGAGCGTCCGCCCCCTGCTGGCCGTCGTGCCCTGCTTCTCCGCGGGCCCTGTGCTCTCCCAGCCGCTCCGGCGGCGCCTGCACGTCTCTTGGAAACCCGGACGCTGCGGGTCCGCGGAAGCCCGGGTGCCCTGTGCCTTAGGAGGCTGCGCGGTTACGCACTGTGGGCTTCCAGCGCACAGCGCCCGCGCGGACGTCGGCCGCGCTTCTGTGCTAGCCTGAGGATGAGTTAACCTCCTCCTCCTGGTAGTTGGGGTGTAGCGCGGGTGCGTGCCTCAGCGGGGTGCTGGAGGACGTTCCCGCGTAATCAGCCTGTGGCCGGCATCCAGACTGGGGTTCTGACCTGAGTCCTACGCAGTACGGTGGCCGATGCCGGTGGGGGCCTCGGCGAGTGTTGAGCGGGTGTAGGAAGTTACCTGGAGCGGACCTCGCGGCCAGCAGCGCCGCAGGCTCTGAGTTAGAAGGGCTCGGCGGGGAGGGGCAGCCTGCGCCCCGGGTCCCACAGCGCGCGTAGGTCTGCGGGCGAATCCCAGTGGCCCTGCCTGCGCGCATTAAAGGGTCGAGTTTGTTTAGTAGGGTGAACTCGGCTGTGTGCTTGCAGGTGGCTTCACGCACGACGAGCTGCTGAAGATATGGAAGGGACTGTTCTACTGCATGTGGATGCAGGACAAGCTGCTCCTGCAGGTGAGTGCCCGGCCCGGTGGCCTGAGAGCTGGGGGAGGCCGGGGAGCTGTGGACGCTCCCATCCTACTGTAGACAGAGCCGACAGGAGAAGCTGTGTGGCTGGCGGCTCCAGCACATGTGGAGGACAGGCGCGAGTGCAGGGCAGTGCCGGCAGTGGGGCGGCCAGGGCTCGGTGGAATGGGTTGTTTGGTGTTTGTTCCCAGTGTGATCAAAACACTTGTGCACTCACATGCCGACTTAAGGGCAAGTGCAGGTGTTCTGAGACGGGGATTTCCCCTGCTGGCCTTTTAGAAGTGGTTCTCAGAGTCTGAGCTCCTAGCTCTTCACTAACCTGAGTGTGAATGTGCTTATTTAAGTGTGGACTCTGGGCGCGCATTCTGAACGCCATGTCTTAGAGGAGGCTCTGGGCTCTTCTGACCAGGCAAAGGCAGCCAGGGGGTGACCTAGCAGGTTCTGGCTGGTAAGGCGGCCCCCGTCCGTCCCACAGCCCCTGTGACTGTCACTGTCTTGCTCAAGGCACACACTCAGTCCAGAGGACAGTGGCCATCGCTGTGGGGAGGGTCTGTTAACCCTGGCTTTGGAAGAGGCCTTTTGCAGCAGGAGAAACTTACAGAGCTGGCGTCTGCTGGGCTGAGACCTCTGGCAGCTGGTTCCCTGAGGGTGAGGGGACGTTTGCATGTGCTCTCTCACCATCCGGAGAGCACAGTGCTTCAGGGACGAGTGTGTTTCCACTGTTCCCTGCACAGGAGGAACTCGGGAGGACCATTGCCCAGCTCATCCATGCTTTTCAGACCGCAGAGGCACGTGAGTAGCTCCGCCGTGGCTGAGCCCACTTGTGGACGCCAGGGCTACTTAGCGCTGAAGCCGCAGCCACAGAAGTTCGTGTTCTGAAATCTAGAGCAGGAGGCAGCCAGTGTGTGGGTGCAGTCATGTGGGGAGCAGCCTATACCCACCCCTTACCCACAGGGACTCCCCTCAGGAGCAGGGGAGGCTGAGGTCCTGCCGTGGGAAATTAGGATGCAGAGCCAGTGAGGGGATCCCACAGAACTTGTATCCCCCCGATCATTGTGAAGCTCCCACGTTGTGTTTTTCTCTTACGTGTTAACCTGACGGTGGTGAGTACTCCTGACTTTGCCTGCACGTTGGAATCACTCGGGCAACCTTTCAGCAGCCTGACATTTTTGCCAGGTATGGTGAATCATGCTGATAACCCCAGCTACTTGGAAGGCTGAGGCAGGAGGCTCACAAGTTCAAGGCCAGTTTGTGGCCTTGGGCAATTTAGCAGACCCTTTCTTAAGAAAAAAGGGCTGGGGATGTAGCTTATTGCTGAAGTGCTTGCCTACCTTGTGTGAGGCCCTGGGTTCTGAACCTAGTTCTTCAAATTGATTTTTTTTTGTTCTTTTTTTTTGCCTTTTTGAGACAGGGTTTCACTCTGCAGTTTAGGGTGGCCTCAAACTCACATCGATCCTCCTGCCTCAGCCTCCCGAGTGCTGGGGATTACAGGTGTGCACCACCACGCCCAGCTACAAAATGGTTTAAAGGAGAGCTGATGTGTAGAGCTTGGTGCTCTTGTGCCCAGCTCTGAGGGTGTGGCCTGGGTGTCACTGCCTTAGACCTTCTTGGGCCCTTAGGGCACAGGGGTTGAGCATGTCCTGACAGCAGTGAGTGAGGTGCTGGCATGTGTGGTGGGTCTTCATTTGCTTACACAGGCAGTTCCCGTGTGCACCTGTGCCCTGACCTCTTTGTGAGGGTACCAGTCAGATTAGATCAGGGCCTGCCCTCATGCCCTGTGTTTACCTTTAGACCTCCTCCCGTTCTGAGGCCCCCTGGGGTCAGGACGTGCGCACGTGATGTTGGGGGCAAGGTTCAGCCAGGGCATCCTGTGTCTGACGCAGGTGTCGAGCTTCTGTGCCTGCTGGATGTGGGTCCAGGGGGCGAGCACGTGTCTTTGGCCCTCACAGTGCTCAGGGGAGCCCCTGTTCTGCCCGGGGTACAGTGCTCCCCCTGCAGCACTGGTGTCCACGCCCTTCCCTCTCCCTCCTGCAGAGCACCTGTTCCTGCAGACCTTCTGGCAGACCATGATCCGTGAATGGGCAGGCATCGACCGGCTGCGCCTGGACAAGTTCTACCTGGTGAGTCGGGCCTGTCCCGCTGAGCTGCAGTACTGGCTGCGAGCTGGCTCCACCAGGTCCAGGCTGAGTCCTCGGCCGGGTCCTGAGGGTGTGTTGGGGTGGCTTCCCTGTGGGGGGGCGGGTCAGTGGAGCTTGAGTCCTGCTTCCGGTAACGCCAGTCCCCTTCTGTGGCACAGCTCATGCGGATGGTCCTGAACGAGTCCTTGAAGGCCGTGAAGATGCGAGGGTGGGGAGAAAGGTCAGTGTGCTCAGGTGCCGGAGTCCTTGAGGGGGGTGGGGGTTGTCTCCTTGTAATCCTTGGTCCACCGAGGGGCCGCATGGTGCTGCGGAGGTGGCTCAGAAACGCAGTGCTCCCCGCCCCATAGGACAGTGCTGGGGCTCTCGGCTGGGGTGCACTGCTGTCACCTCAGGTCAGAACCAAGAGACGATGGCCAGGTCGCATCCAGCTGTCTGCCGTGCCCTCAGGGGCCACTGTTCGCGGCTCTGGAAGACTTCATGTCGTCCAGACTTGTCACACTGACCGCGGTGCTGGGAGAGACTGTGCCGCCGGCTCTGTCCGTGCTGTTTCATGTGGGCTTTCACAGGCAGAGACAACTCTTGTCCTGCGGTGGTGCTGGCCACCCTCTGCATGGCTGCGGTCTTTGAGCTCAGACCTCAGGAGCTACACAGTCACCAGAGGCTGTGCCAGGGGCAGTGTGTCTCCAACTTGGTGACAGCCAGCTCCTCAGCGCAGGGTAGATTTCTTGGTGTTTATATTCCTAAAAAAAAAAAATTTTTTTTTTTTTTTTGAGACTATCTCACCGTGTAGCCCAGGCTGACCTTGAATTCACTGTGTAGCCCAGGTTGGCCTAGAGCTTGCAGTGATCCTCCTGCCTCTGCCTCCCAAGTACTGGGATTGCAGGCATGTGCCACCACAGCAGGTACTTCCTAAAATATTTTAGGTTAATAAATAACTTCTAAAATAATTGTTTGTGAATGATGTGTGCTTAGTGTAAAGAACTCAGAAAACTTCATAAGACCTTTATGAAACATTAAAAGTCTTTTTTTTTTTTTTTTTGGTTTTGATGCTGGGAAGTAAACCCAGGGGCTCTCTTATGCTATGCCATTAATTTATAGCCCCAGCCTTGAAGAGTAATCTTAACTCCAACACATAAAGTAATTTCAACTCCAACGGATAATTATTTTTTTCTTCAGATGATTGCTTTTAAGACATCACATAGAGAAGGCTGAGGCAGGAGGATCACAGTTTGAGTCTCACCTGAACAATGTCATGAGGCCCTGATTCACACAAGGGTGTCTGGGGCACAGCTGGGCTAAGGTCAGGTTCCGCCCTTAGTGCCACAGAGAGACCGCATGGAGCCAGCTCTGGCGTCTGTCTGCAGAGGCAGCTGTACAGGCCACCTGGTCCATCTCCCGACGGCGGCATCCTAGCGGTGCCGCTGCTAGGTCGCGGGTAGCTTCATCTGTTTTTGCTGGGCCAGTTCAGCTTTGGATTTGTGAGTGAGAAGCACGCACTGCAGGCTGAGTGCCTGACACTGCCCCTGCTCCTGGGTGCAGGAAGAGTGGTTCCCCCTGAGCTTGCAGCCGGGATGCTGTGGCCGTGATGATCTGCAGGGGTGCAGGGTAGCGGGCGCTGCCTGGACCGCAGTTCCTGTCTGGGGAGGAGCACATGGGCAGCATGCCTTCCCAGGCAGCTGTGGCTGTGCGGGTGCTGAGCGCTAGTTGCCGTGCTTTCCTCACGGTCACTGTCGTCCCGGGGAGTCGCGGTGACCGCCCCGGCAGGGGCCGCCCGTGCCCCTCTGTCCCGTCCGCCCAGCTCAGGGAGCTTCTCCTGTGTCTGCTCCCCTAGCCTGGCTGCAGGCGCTGCGTCTGTTTCTTGGTTCGCACCTGACAGCGCGTCTGTCTCCTTTCCCTGAGGCTGTTGAGGCCTTGCGCTTCCTCCTCACAACCGGGGTTTCCTGCATGGGAGTCCAGGGAGTCCCTTCTTGTTTTTTTGGTGTTTTGACACGGGGTCTTGCTGGGTAGCCCAGGCTGGCAGGGGGCTCCTTAAAGAATGTGTTTTGTAGTTGCAAGCGAGGGGATCTGGACTCCCACCCCACCCCAAGTTTTGGGTGCACCCAGACTGCTGTAACTGCTCACCCTGGGGGTGTCTGAAGCCCTTGCTGCACCAGGAAGAGCTGTGATGCTCGTGTCACCACCCCGGTGCCCCCTGCGTGCAGCTCGCACCTCGCCTGCCCTGCTCCATTCAGCCCTGGTGTGACTTCGGGCGTCCCCTGTAGTGGAGGACCTTGGGGTGGGGTGGGGCCAGGCCTTTCTCCCGCACATGGAAGGAAAGCCAGTGCAGGCGAGGGCTCTCAGCCCTTCCTGTAGTCGGGGTCCAGGCCATGACACCTGTTCCCACGTGGGACACAGCCGCTTATAACCAGACCCAGGGCCGCCGTGGGTGGGGCATGTGGCTGTGCTTCCTGCTGGGCTCGCGATAGGGGCCACGGCGTACACGTAGCTGCTGGATCCCCACCCCCACCCCGCAGGGACATCGAGCAGCTGCTGGAGTTGCTTACCTCCGAGATCCTGCACGAGGACAGCCAGGCTCCCAATGGCGTGAAGAGCCACTTTCTCGAGGTCTTCCTGGAGGAGCTGACCAAAGTGGGCGCCGCAGAGGTGAGTGGGGCTCCAGAGGGCGGCTCGGCCCGGCCTGGCCACTGTGTGTCCTGAGGCTGAGCCACTGCCCTTGCTTCCCAGCTCACGGCTGACCAGAACCTGCGGTTCGTGGAGCCCTTCTGTGGGATCGCCGCCCGCACTACGGAGTAAGTGGAGGCGGCAGTGGGCCAGCCCCGCTTCCCCCACTTCCGCTGCAGCTGCCTCGGGGGTTGCGGCTCCCTGCGAGCCTGGCCTGGGCCGGAGGGTGGCAGGGTGGGCGGCACTGCCTGTGTGAGTGTCCGGCTCTGCTCTGCCTCAGCTCCCTGGTCCTGCACAACATCACGCGTGGCATCTTCGAGACGATTGTGGAGCAGGCCCCCCTCGCCATCGAGGACCTCATGAGGGAACTGGCCGCGCAAGAAGGGGAGGATGAGGGCTCGGGTGGCGACCAGGAGTCGGACGGTGACGAGTCGTCGGAGGGTGGGCGTGAGCATGCCCTGCCACCCCGGGAGCCGCCTGCAGGTGCGGGGCCAGCTGGCTTAGGGCACCGTGCTGGGCTGCTCTCCCTGCCTGCCGACTACCCTGGTCCCCGCCCTCCCCCTGTGCCCCGCGTAACTCCACAGCCAGAGTGGCTTCCCGCCCTGGCTCACGCGGCACACCAGGCTCCGTCCTGCTCCTGCTGCCCGGCCCAGCTCCTGGCTGGCTCCCTGGGGCCTGCCCAGCCCGTGCCCGCTGCTGGGTTCTGCACTGTCTCCCTGGCCAGGTTTCCCATGAGGGCTGCAGCGCTCTGTGGGCCCGGCTGGTCCATGCTGAGCAGCGCCTCTCGGTCCTGGGGGAGCAGGGGACCCAGTGCCCCACTTGCACATGACCCTTACAGGGACCTGGGACAGCGTCCAGGCCTGGTGTGGCTGTCACCGTCTGTCTGCAGGGTTTTCCCCGTGCTGCGTCCTGTTGCCGGGAGGACACCTGTCCCCACTCCAGGAGCCTCTCGTGGGCTCCCAGGCTGTTCGGCCCTGGTGCTTCCCGTGCTCCGTGTGTCCCTGCGCTTGCTCTCAGCAGTCGGGTCACCCAGGCATCTCCCGGCGGGTTTTCTAGTGCCTGCTGCACCTGTCTGCCTCTGGAGCAGACTCCTGTACCCTGCTCCTGCCCCGGCGTCTCCACACTCCCCATCCGGGCCGCCTGAGTCTGGCCCTCTGCCGTCCTCCCTTCCGGAGCCCTGGCATTTCCTCTGCTGCCCGCAGTGCCCCTTCCCTGGCTGTGTGCCCTCCTGTCCACACCTTGGTCCCCTGCCCCCAGGAGGCCTCTTGCTGCATGCAGGGGCTCTGGGCCCCCACCTGTGTCCCACACACCCCAGGTGTGCTTGGGCTCACGGGGTCCCTTTTGTTCTAGGCTCCCCAGAGCAGGTGGGAGACGACGAGGACAGCACTGGCCCTGTTCTCCAGGTAGGTGGCGGGGATTCCCCCTCCCGCTGACCCCAGCTTGGAAGGGAGGAAGCGTCACAGTGGCAGGCAAGGCTTGGGGACCAGCTGGGCTCGGCTTTGGAGGAGGCGCCCGTCCTGCAGCCTCACTAGGTCCTCCACATTGGCCTTTGGTACCAGCTGGGAGTCAGCTCAGCAGAGGGCCTCAGAACACAGGACACTGTGGCTAGAAATGTGGAACGTCCGAGATTTCAGTGCTGGCTGCCTGTCGGACTAGTGAAATCTGGGGGTCTGGGCTTAGGTCGACTTCTGGGCTTGCTTTCTCTCTGCTTGTGTGGGGAGAACTGAAGCTGTTAGCAGGCCACTGTGGTCCTGGTGATGCTGTAGGCAGCCTGGGAGACGGGACAGCAGAGTCCGTGCTGACCGCGCGGGGCCCAGGGTCGTGAAGCACGTGGGTGGTGACTGACCACGCCCCGCTGCCCTTTCTGCCGCAGTTTGACTACGAAGCAGTTGCCAACAGGCTGTTTGCGGTGGCCAGCCAGCCGGGCACCCCCTCTCAGAACAGGAAGCGCCTGTACAAGGTCATCCGCAAGTGAGTGTGCCCACGGTGCCCCGCCGTCTCCCGCAGCCCTTCTGCACTGTCCTGAAGTGGCCTTGGCCGGGAGGGAGGTCTTCAGGTCAGAGGGCATCGGTTCGGGTCCTGCTGAGGGCCCGGAAGGTGCATGTGGGTGCAGAGCCAGTCGGTGGTGACGGTGGCTGTCTCGCTCTTGCAGGTTGCAGGACCTAGCTGGAGGTGAGGCTGGAGCAGCGCCCAGGGGCCTGGACTGGGAGCTGTGGCGTCTTCGCGTGTGGGGTGTGGGCCTCGCGGTTCTGGGGGCACAGGGCTTCCCGGCCTCGTCTGTGTCCTGCTTGCCGCTGGGCCTCAGACGAGCTTCCATGCACCCGTGTCAGCGTGCAGCACTGTGCGTGAGGAGGGCAGCTGACCTGGTGTCGGGCTTATGCCAACAGCAACATGAGCCGTCCCTGTCTGTCATGTGCTGGCCCCTGCTCTCTGGCCTGACCACAGACCCTTCCCCTGCGTGTGAGCACATCCAGTGGGCGAGCTGCGACTGGTCCCACCCTGTGGAGTCGCCTTGCCCATGGGCTTCCTCCGGGGATCACGACCTAGCAGTGGCATTGGGGCTGATGCAGGCCTTTCCTGCCCGCTGTGCCTCCTGACCGTCCCCTCTCCTCAGGTCACTTCCCTGAGGACGAAGTCCCCGAGAAGGCCTGCAGGCGTCTGCTGGAGGGGAGGCGGGTGCGGAAGGCGAAGCGGCGCTGGCTGCAGCGGCAGGCGCAGAGCCAGAGAGGTAGGGCGGGCGGGGCTGAGGGTGGGGGCGGGTGCTGGCACGAGGCTGCCTGTGCCCCGGCCCATGAGCCTGCAGGGAGGGCGCCACACCGACCACGCTCCGTGGGCTCGAGGGGTGGAGGGGATAGTCGCAGAGGCAGGCAGTGGGGCAGCGCGCGCAAGAGCCCTGGGAGCACGGGGCAAATAGGGGTTCAGACCAAAGATGGGAGGGGCCCAGAAGGGGCAGCCTGGCCCCAGCTGTCACCTTGGTCAGGAGAGGGCGTCCCCCAGACGGCAGCTCTCAGGAAAGGGGGAACTGGGCGCGGCCCCCAGGATACGAGCCGTGGACACTAGGCCCTGGGCAGCCTGTCAGGTCCTCTCCCGTGATCTCCCGACCCAGTTGCCCTGCTCACACCTCTGGGCGCCTGCTCCCTTGTCTGAGCGCCTGCTGGCCTCTGGTGGCCCTGCTTCCTGGCAGCGCAGGCAGCCGTGGTGCGTGCTGTCCTTTCGGACAGGGTCCCCAGCGGCTGTCGCTGCATCGTCGGCACACTGACGTCTCTGTCCTGGAATGTGGCTGGGCAGCCTGTCCATGTGACCGTGTTGCTTCGGCAGGGGAAGTCCGGGAGGAGACGGCGGCCCTGAGTCCAGACCCGAGCCTTGGAGGCGAGAGGAAGGGTCGGCGGAGGCCTGAGAGGGCTGGCCCTGGACCTCGCACGGGAGCCAGGGGCAGGAAGGGGCCCCGCCGGAGGAGTCGGCAGCCTGGGCGGGCACCTGCTGCCCAAGCAACAGCGGCTGGCGCCCAGGAGCTCAAGAGAAAGAAGAAACGGCCGCTGGAGAGCGGGTAGAGCTGTGACCAGGCCGGGACAGGCGGCCGCTGTGCGCGTCCTCATGCAGCGAGCTGCGCTGAGGCAGGACACCAGGGGAGGCTGAACCTCTGACATCCGTGGTCCCGACCTCCGCAGGGCGGATGAGGAGGACGGGCCCAGGAAACGTAGCTGCCTCAGGGCTGGCATCTGTACCTGCTCTCTTAGGTCACAAGTTCAAATCCTGGAGACTTAGAGCCCCACCACAGGTGACTGTCATCCGCGCCCCTGGGCCCCATGGAATAAAACGTGGGCCCTGACCACGCTCTGGTCCCTGGTGTGTTCATGTCGTGTGCGTGTGAAGTGCCCATGTGCTCCCGAGCACTGTTCATGTTTTAAGTTCGTTCTGTTGTAAAAACCTGTTGACACGGGTCACAGGACCCTGAGGAGGCCCACCGGTGAGCAGCTTGTGGCGTGTACAGGAGGGCCGTGTCCTTCACCAGAGCCCAGGGTGCAGGGGGGCAAGGGAGGCCCAGAGGCGGCCCATGTGAGGGCCCGGGGCACACTTGGTGCTCAGAGTGACTCCGAGAGGGCCAGGAGCCCAGCTGGCGAATCCCAGACCTGGTGCTGCGTAGAGGTGTTTGTCGATCAAACCACACAGCATTTGCCCTGCTGGCAGCCGGGGTCCCGAGAAGAGGCTGGTGTGGCGTGCTGCGGTGCGTGGCACGAGCGGCTCCCGCAGAGGGCACTGTTCGTCCAGGGCCGCTGCCCCCCGGGAGAGCCTGGTCTGCGCCTGCTCACGCTGCTCCCTCGGCGTGGCGGTTCTGAGGACACAGCCTCGGGTGTCGCAGGTGCGCTGCTTCTCGGGGTGCTGCACCTCACCTGAGGCTCCTGCTGCCCTCCTCTGGTTTGCAAGCATCCCTGCCCCTCCCTGTCCTCCGCAGGCCCTGTGCCTAGGATGATTCGGGTCCCTGGTGCTGTGAGGAAAGGAAACGCGGTCGCGGTGCCCGCTTTAATCCCAGCATTCTGGGAGGCTGAGGTGAGGGCTGCAGGTGAGAACCCGCCCGGACCAAGCTGGTGGCTTAGACCCTACCTCACCATGGCTGGGTGTGAAGCTCAGTGCTGGGACAGTGGGTGTAACCTCACCAGTGCCACCCCTTAAGAAAGGCAGTCGCCCGTACTCGCAGTGTGGACAGCCAGTCCAGCCCAGCTGCAGTGCTTTCAGCAGGGGCCGGGAGCTTTGCTTCTCCCAGCTGTTCCCGTGCAAGGGCTGGTGCAGCCCCCACGACCCCTCAGCCCGTGCTCCGTCTCCCTCCCTGTGCCCAACCTGCTGGCTGGTTTCTCTGCCATACCCTCCTGCCCAGGGTCTGCTGCCCACATCTTGTGGGCACTGCCTCACCTGCTTCCACGGGGTCCCCAAGTGCCCAGTGGGCTCCAGGACCTCAGTCTCCCAGGACACCTCCCCAGCCTGTGCTGTGGAGCACCCTCACACCCCCTCGGCCCCACCTGAGGCTCCTGCAGAGTGGGGTGCATGGTGCCTAGGCCCCCAGTATGCACTTCCCTCCTTGGCTCTGTGTTGCAGGCCAAGGGGCTGGGGGGCTGCCCCCCTCAGAGCCATGCAGAGCAGTGTGTATGTGAGCACGGCTGTGTGCTGTGAGTCGGAGTGACCAGCTGCCCCTTGGTCCCCAGCTGCGTCCGTCCCTCCCCTGGAGTGCATGTGTCCTCAGGCCCAGCCGACATCAGAGCCCCACGCCGAGTGTGAGACCCTGTGGCCGCTTCTCTAAGAAACAGCTTTCTGGGCCAGGGATATAGCTCAGCAGTACAAGTGCCTGCCTGGGCAAGCACGAGGTCGTGAGTTCAATTCCCAGCACCAAAAACAAAAAAAAGCTTTCCTAGACACTCGGCCACCCTCTGGAGGTGGTGGTCAGCAGCTGCCACGCATTCGCAGGGTGTTGTGCCAGTGTCTTTGTCACCAGAGGGAACCTTACAGTCAGCACCCCGTCAGTCTCCGCAGCCTCTTGGAGGAGCAGGCCCTGACTGCCCCGGGGTCCAAGTAGGCCTCGAGGTGAAGCTGAGCCCCCAGCTGGAGGAGACACAGGAATCCACGCTCGGGAGGGCAGCCTGGTCCGACCCCACCAGCTGCTCACTTGCTGGCGAGGATCGCCCACCCCGACCCCTCGTCCGCCCTGGGGCTTGACAGCCGGTCCAGGGGACCTGCACAGGAGCAGTTCCGTAACCTGCCTCTAGGGGGCCCTTGGCCCCATAATGACTGAATCACAGGCTCCTGGCATCTCTGGTCCCTGGGGTGGGGGTGGGGATCGCAGTCGCTGGTTTCCAGGGAAACGAGCCCCCAGAGGCTCTAACTTGAGCTCTGCAGAGCTGCTGCCTGCATCCTCCCTCTGGCTCTGCGAGGTCAGCGCCTGGCGCTGCGGGGCTCAGGCCCCAGGAGGTGGCACAGCTCACGCCGTTCACCTCTGCCTGTGCTGGGCAGGCGTAGCTGTTACAAAATCCGTAAAGGAAATTCTGCCCTCGACACAGGGAGGCTGTGCTGGGATGCAGGGCGTCGGGGGCACGGGACGCTTCTCCCTGCTCCCGAGGGCTGGCGCCCCTCAGGGGCCCCTCCTGAGTCCCGCGGCTCTGGCCACCGGGAGCCCACCTAAGGGGTGCGTTTGGGTCACACGCAGCCTTGACTCCTGGGGTCAGCCACTGAGGGCCTCCCTGCCCCGCCCTGGTGCCAGGAACCTCGCGGAGGGGAGCCAGAGGGCGCCCTGTTCCCTGTGGTTGGGCTGTGCCGGGTGTTGGGCAGGGCAGGAGCCCAAGTCTCCACCTTTCCTGAGGACTGACCCTTTAGGAACCTCTGCAGCAGCCCAGCAATGCCACCCACTCAGGCAGAGGCGGGAGGATGTGGGCATGGTCCCTGAGACCTGGAAACGGCTCACACGTCCTGGAGACCCGGAAGCAGGTACAGGTGTGTGCGACCCGGCCCATGCTCTCTCTGACGCCCAGCCCACCCCCCTTGAGCTGTTCTGAGACACGCTGCAGGATGTGCCCGGAAGGGGGTGCCGCCCGACAGAGCACTGCTGAGCTGGCTCTCAGGCTGGGGAGCGAATCACCCTTGCTGCTGAAACGCGCTTGCAGACCAGCCAGGTGCATGTCAGAAGTCGTTTTTTGTTTTTTTTTTTTAATTGTGTGTTCACTCTGCTCGTGGGCCATGGAGGGCTCCATGCCTGGAGAGGACACAGAGACCCAGAACCCCTGGCGAGTCCGGCGCACTGTCAAGTCTGTGCACGTGACACGGACAGCTGCTCTTTCCCGGGGCAGGCGGACAGACAGGAAGGACGCACTCCCAGGTGCTGAGGGAGCCGCATATTTAAAGGAAGCTGTGTCTCTGGAGCTGCATCTTCCCGCACACGGAAGCGTGCTCACCTCCTGGTTCGCCGCTGGAGGAGGGGCCAGCCGCCTGCTAACCTGCCGGAGACCTGCATTAGCAAACAGCTTGTTCCTTGTCCCTAGTGCGCTCTTGAAATTTCACAGCTGCCTTACAATAGTAATTTGCGGCTCCTAAATAGTCACTTGTAAATAGCGGGGACAGACCTCTGCAGGAGCAAGGAAGGCTCTGGAGCAGCAGCCACCCCAGGCCGTGAGGCACATCATCAGCCTGAAGGCCACCGGTGGCCTTGGGGAGCCCGGCACAGCCCAAGGCCCTGAAACACTGCAGGTCCCAGAGGCGGCTGCCCGGGCAGGCGGCAGAGCAGTGCTTCCAGGCATCCGGCCTGGGCCACATGCATTCCTGCGGCCCCACTGAGCTGGCCCCTGTGGAGAGCACAGTGGTGACGGTCACCGTGTGAAGCTGCCAAGGGTGGTGGCGTGGGGCCTTGATCCCAGGCCATCAGCTCGGCCCCACAGGCCTTTGGCTTTGGTGGCACAGCTACCCTCAGGGAGACCTGGTTCCCTCCTGCTCGCCTGTGGGGTTTGTGTGCCAGGCCGCACCTGTGAGGGAGCCCAGGCTCCGCCCCCGCCTGGAGTCCTGGACCCAGCCCCCAGCGCCTCGCAGGGTGGGTGCGGATGGCAGGGTGCTGTGCAGGTGGCAGAGCCTCAGGACACTGGGGCTGGGCCCTGGCTCCCCTTCCCACGGTGGCTTAGTGGCCAGGGGCTCCCTTCCCTTCCCTGTCCTCCATGCCCCTGGGCTCCCGTCCTCCTGGCTTCCTCCTGCCCCCAGCACAGGGCAGCCATCCTCCAGGACATCCTCCATCCCTTCCCAGGGTCCTGCTGTTCCTGGTCTCACACTGCGCCTGGCCCGCACCCCCAGGCCCTGCTGTGCTCTGCCCCAGGCCATGCCTCTGCAGGTGGCCTTTGGGGTGCAGCAGCTCAAGGGCTGCTCCCTCTTGTGGAGGGCATGGTTGGCCTGGCTGTGACAAGGGTGTGCCTGGGGTGCCTGTCCTGCAAGCCCCTCTGCTGTCCCTAGGGACGAGCTGGCACCGCTGGGCAGAGAGCGGGACATGGAAGGAGGCCGAGTCCACAGCGGTCGTCTTGTGGCCCTCTTGGGTACAGACAGGATCTCCCCTGCCCAGGGCACCTGGTGAGGACCCCTCGTGAAGCCCACTGCTCTGTCCTCTGACCGAGCTCCCCACAGGCTCCTCCTGTGCCTCTGAGTTTTGGGGTCCCTGCTGGTTTGCATCGCATGCGGCCCAGCCCGCTTGGGAAGCCCCTCCCCCAGTGCCTGGCTGCTCTCCACAGTCTCTGCTCGGGGCCACAGTTGGCTGCTGTCTCGGAAAAACACATCTTCCCTGCTCAGAGGCATCAGATGGACCCCAGCCCGGCCCAGCCCAGGCAGCCCCTCTGCCCACCCTGCACCCAGCCCAGCCTTCGGGTTCCTGAGTCCCCGCTGGTCCCTGAGAAGGCCCAGACCCCACATTCTGCCATCTCCGTGCGACAAGAAGTTCGCCCCGGAGCACGGCCGGGCTGTCCAGACCCATGGGTCACCCGGGCCAGGCCAGGCCTCCCCCGCACGTGGCTGCAGGGCAGCATCATAGTGATTCCAGACATCACCCAGCCCACGAGAGGCCACTGCCCCATCTGTGTCCCGGTGACCGTGGCCTCTGCCACCCCCAAGTAAACTGAGGCCCATCGGACGCTCACATCTGCTGGTGGGACTGAACCAGCAGTGTGTCTGTGGGCACAGCCCGCAGCAGAAGCCCAGCCTTCCCTTGGGTTCCTGGCTCTTGACCCTTCCCTGCCTTACCCACAGGGGCTCCAGACCGCAGCTTGCACCTTCCCATACTGGCGCTGCCTATGGAGTGGCTGTGCTCTCCCCAGCACTACTGGGGCTCTGGAGGCAGGGCCCCCTTCCTGCTTCCTCTTCCAGGTCCTCGAGGAGCTGCCTTCCAGCAGAGCCCAAAATACCCATCTCCAGAAGCGCCGGCATTAAGCATCTCAGTCTGACTCAATCTCAGCCGCGTCTCCAGCGTCCGCGCCCACGCTGCTGGGTTATTTCCAGCACCCTGCCACTCTGTGCCACCTCCCTGCCCAGAAGGTCCCTGGCTGGTGTGTCCCGAGCAGAAGGGGCTGCTTGGGGCTGGGGCTCCTCAGGGTGACAGGTGTTCGCAGGCCCAGACCCCGGCCCCTTGAGGCTCTGCGGCATCTTCCCTACGGCTGGGCAGCTCTAATGCGTCCCAGAGCTTCGCATCTGTGCTGGGGACAGAAGCCACAGACTGTCCCTGCCAGGCCAGGTCTGCATCACAGAACCACAGCCCAGCCCTCTAGTCTTCATCTGCCGCCAGGCTGTCTCTGAACTGTCAAGGCTGGCCTCAAACTCACGATCTTCCTGCTTCAGCCTCCCAAGTAGCTGGGATTACAGGCAGGTGTTGCTGTGCTTGGCGTGCGTCCCAGAGATCTGTGAAGCGGGAAATTGGCATGTGGAAGTGCTGATCAGTGACACATCACGTGTGTGCCCTTCCCAGAGGGTGTCTCTCACCTGTCCCCGGCCTGCAGGCAGGGAGGGGGCTCCAGCTCATGCACTGGGTCGATTCCAGTTTTCTCACCAGGGCAGGGAGGGGCGTCTACGTCTACCCCAAACAGCAGTGCTTCTGCTCCCGGGTTGTTCTAGCCAAGTTCTTTTCCCGTGGGGGAGGAAAATGCAGCTCAGAGCTCACACGGGCCCTGAGGAGGGCACGGCCCCAGGCTCTGGGCAGGGAGCACGTTCCCGAGGAAGGCCGTGGCTGCCGTGTCCTCCGGCTCCTGGCAGGGCCCGCGGTGTGCTCATGTTGTGACCGCTCTGTCTGCCTTCTCCTGGATGTGCTGAGACTTCCGGCCCCACAGCTTCCTGCAGGCGGGGAGGGGCACCCAGGATGCGAAACAGAAACGCAAGGGCAGGCAATGGCCCGGCGAGTGCTTGGGGTTCCAGACCATGGGGTCTCACTCATGGGCACTGTTTCCCAAGAACCCTCTGAGGCAGGAGCTGTTTAGATGGGTAGGACACACAGCTGGGCGTGGTGCTGCGCTCCTGTGATCCCAGCGCTCAGCAGAATGAGGCGGGAGGATCGCAAGTCTGCGCACAGTGTGGGCAACCTAGCAATTCAACAAGATGTTCTCTTTAAAAAATAAAGCCAGGTGTGGTATACACCTGTAATCCCAGGACTCAGAAGGCTGAGGCAGGAGGATGGCTGTGTGTTCAAGGTCAGACTGGGCTACATAGCAAGACCCTGTCTCAAAGAAAACTGCACAAATAAAATAATATAAAAGGCTGGGGATGTAGCTCAGTGCAAAGGGTAATCTTCATTACTGAGAAAAAGAAGGGAAGAAAGAAAGAAAGAAGGAAAGAAAAAATAAAGAGAGGGGAAGGGAGGACAGGCAACTGGAGACTTCCGGTACCAGATTCTGAGGCTCACTGTGACACCACAGAGAAGGGCAGCACAGCGCGGACAAGGCCTGCGTCAGCCCGGGCTGAGCCCCTTTGGCGCCCCAAAGCCTGGCTGGACAAGCTCTGGCTTGGCTTTCCTCCTCCTCCTCCTGTGTCCCCCTGCAGTGTCGGTTTTCCCAGGTGCCCTGCAGACCCTGGGTCACGCCATGCATTCCTCCTCCTGGACACCAGCGTCGGTGTGCACAGCCATGCGTGCCCTGCAGACTTTAAATCTCTCGGGCCGCACCACTGGGCGCTGGGCACGCCGCGTGCATGGCTGTCGTGCTGTCTTTAGGAAGTAACGGTGCAGGAAATGCACTTGCCCCGTGCAGGTGCGATGTTCACACAGCTTTGCTCTGTGGTGAGTTGGAGCTCCAGACACAGGCCCCTGGAATGCAGAGGCCGGAGAGTTGCCCATCCTCTGTGCCTGCCAGGGACGTGGTGGACGCCGTTGGTGTGCTGCCCGCGCCCTTCAGGTGTGTCGCAGAGATCCTGCAGCGGATGCTCCGCCCACTCTGCTGGCCTTGCCGCTCTGCTCTGAACAACCCCTTGCGTCAGTGGTGTCTCGCGGCTGCTGTCCCTTCCATTGGCCTCATCAGCCGGGTGAGGAAGGGGGTCGCAGGTTCCAGCCCCGCTCAGCAGGGGCCTGTCTCGGGTAGGACACTTGCCCTGCATACACCAGGCCCCGGGGTCCAGCCACAGTGCTGGAGAGAAAGACAGACAAACAGGACCAAGTAGGGGGATGGAAACAGGAAGTCGTGATCTGCAGCTCTGAGCCCCCGAGGCCGCCTGCTCTGCCGCAGGACGTCTCCGGAGGGTGAGACTCTGGCAACATGGGAAAGGCGCCCTGTGAGAGGGCCGGCCCTGCCATGCGCTCTGAAATGGACTCGGCAGAGGCAGTGCCCGAGGCCAGAGGGACAGAGAGACAGAGGGGGCGCAGTGTCGGGTCTCAGCCCCAGAGATGCCAGTGCTGGCCCTGGGGACACAGCACAGGGCTCGAGCCGCACCGAGCAACGCCAGGCAGAGCTCGGGGACAAGAAAATTCCTGGCGAGGGTGGGGCACACGAGGGGCAGACTGACGACGCTCCTCGGGATGCAGGGGCACCGGCGGGACAGTGGCGGGCTGCACACCGTGGAGGAACACTGGGCAGGGACAGAAGTGACCACGCCCAGCCAGGACATCTCCACATTAGCATCAGGGGCGCTGCCCGTCCTGACCACACATGACGTAGAACCCAGAAGCAAAAGCCAACTTTGCAAGCCCCACGCGAGTTCGGGAATTTGAAAATGGCTTTCTTGAGCAACAAAGGTCAAGGAGGCTGGGAAGACGAGACGCACCAGGGAAGGGACCAGGGGAGCTCCGCCCCGAGCGGCATCTCCTCTGCAGCGGGCCGGCTGGGCCGGGGACCCCGGGAAATCCCCGCAGCCGCACCATGGCGCTGCTGGCCCAGCAGGAAGACCTAGACACCGCGTTCTGACAACAGAGTGCCTGACCGCTGTGACGTGCGGCCGCACGTTTCCAGGCAGGCCTGTCTCCCAGCTGGGGCCGGAAGGCACCCAGACGCATCCTCAGGGGCTGGTAAAGTTCTTGGGATCCTTGCCTGAAACAGTAAACGCTCAGACCCATGTGGAAGCCCACAGGAGCTAGCCCTCGCCTGATCCCGCCTCCTCACATGCTCGGGAGCATGGGGACACCCCCTCCTCACTGTCCCCGCAGGGACACTGAGGCCCTCTGTGGGAAGTCCCAGCGGAGCACCCCAAGGTGACCACCCTGTCCCCAGCACACCACTGCTCCTGCCCCGCCCCCCAGGAGGGCTGGTCACACGCAGGGTATCTCCTGGGCTGAGTCTACGGACGTCCGTCAGCCTGGACAAGGAGGGGAGGATGCCAAGTGCCAACTGCAGGCGCCCCGGTCATGGGTGCACCTCACAGCGGTGCTCAATTGAAACTGTACCCTGTAGCCCAGCTTTGCGCTTTGATGTTTTCCCAGCTAAGGATGTGCAGCGCGAGGAGGGCACTCCCCAGAGCCCGAGGAGGGAGCAGGCTGCCTGTTCTTGCTTGTTTTCCTTTCCGTTTTTGTCACTGGGGACTGAACCCAGGGTCTTCCCACTGAGCTATGTACCCAGAACTTTCCACTTTTTATTTTGAGACAGGGTCTCACTAAGTTGCTAAGTTTCCCAAGCTAGGCTTCAACTTGTCACCCTCCTGCCTCAGCCTCCCTGCGTGCTGTGATGACAGGCGTGCACCACCATGCCCGGCCTGCTCCGATTTCTGAGCCCCGGGCTCTGCTGCTTAAAGCCACCCAGACTGTGGTATCTGGCAGTGGCAGCTCCGGGCCATGTATGTGTTTTCAGAGCTTATCTGGGGACCATGACCCCTGTCGCAGCAGAGGGGATGGAATGCGAGAGGACCAGGCATTGGGTCTTCAGTTCATGACCTGGAAATGTCCCTGTCGTTTTTGCTTGAATCTCAGGCCACAGCTAGTCTCATAGCCCACTAAGCACGGGAAGCAGAGGTGCAGCCCTGAGCTTGGGTGGGGTGCAGGGGGCTGGATGTTTGGGTAACATCACCTAAGATTCCCCCGGGGACACGGGAGCCAAGGAAGGAACCTGATGATGACAGCAATGCAGAGGTCAAGAGGCAGTTAGCACACATCCAGCAGGGCATGAGAGAGAGAGGCAGGCCATGCTGGTCCTGGAGAGGAGGCCTCCCTTCCTCCACACCCCCTACCAACCCAGCCTCACATCCTGGCCACCTCCATGGGCTCCCACCCTCAGGCTAAAGCAAACAAACTTAACCTCTCTCTCCCTCTGTAAAATGTTCCTAGCTTTATGTCACTTATGAATATGGTCTCGAGTTGCGTTCACTTACCTATAAAAGGCTCCAGTTTATCCTTCTTTATGGCTGAGTAATACTCTACTGTATAAAAAGAACACATTTTTTATTCATTCCTTGGTGGATGGGCATATGGGTTGTTCCCAAGATTTAGCTATTACAGATACTGCTGCTATAAACGTGGGTGCACATACGTTGCTCTGGTATGACGTTTTTAATTCTTCTGGGAAGACTGACAGAAGAGGAATAGCTGGGTGGAAGGGGACCTCTAATCCTAGGTTTTTGAGGAGTCTCCACACTGATTTCCAGTGGTTGCACCAGTCTACACTCCCACCGACAGAAGGGTTCCTTTTTTCCCACAGCCCCACGAGCATTTGTCATGGGCTGATTTTTGATGATAGCCATTCCTTCTGGGGTGAGATGGAATCTCAGTGTAAACATCATATTGTCTCACTAGTGTGAGAAGCTGAATGAGTAAATAAGATCCAGAATGTACAATAGATACTGTGAATCGGGAAGACACTTCAGAAGAATCAATACAATGCGTTCATCATCTTAATTCCAAAGAGTGGGTCAATGGTTCATCAGTGGGTTTAAAGCCATTGGAATTGATTATAGAGGAAGTTGGAAAAAACTGAACAGGACTAAGAAAATTGGATTTGAAGGGGTAAAACATAACTCCACCTTTGAAAGGAACAGTTAATGCTTATTTTTTGAGCAATGCTGCATGCTTGTGTCTGGTAATCTGAACAACTAATTTGAAGATAGCAATATGCAATATAACAACCATTGGTGAATTCCTAGCATCTTGTCTAGTGAAACTCTGTATCATTTCTAATGTTTTTTAAAAATTTTTATTCTCTTTAATGCTTTGATCAGTCTTGCATTCTTACATCTGGTAATCTGAGCAACTTTGTTGAAGAGAACAGTATGTAATGTAACAACCACTGTTAATTCCTATCATTCTGTTTTGAAACCCTGTATCATTTTTATTGTTTTTGCCTATGTTGTTGGTATTCTGCTATTGTTCTCTTTAAAATAAAATTTACAAAAGAAAGTAAAAAAAAAAAAAAGATAGTTAAGATAGTTACACAGCTAGTTTCTCTTAGTTCATTGAAAAGAAAAGTTTGTGCTGCTATTGTTTGGACAATATCTCATGCCTTTATCTTGTACTCTGAGTAACTACTATGAAGATAAGAGTACACAATGTATTAGTTATTGTTGCTCTCCTATTATCTTGTTTTGAAAGTCTGTTTTACTTTTACTTTTTTTCTCTAAAAAAAAATTCCGAGCTCAGACGGGCAACTCCGTGGGCAGCACCCCCCGCAGGAGTACGACTTGTGCTTTCCCACGGTGGTCCTATGCTCGCCTCATGATAAGGGAGACACTTTCAGCAGCTCTCTCATGGGAATCCCCGCACTTAGAGGGGTGATCCTGGGCACCAAGGCTGATAAAACTAACAAACGGGGTTACAAATTTCCAGCATCCTAACATCCTGAGATGCACAGGGCGTTTCTTTCAAGGCTAGCATAGGGTTAGCTGCTGGGCTGACTGACTGCCTTTGTTTTGCCTCTGTGCCTCTACTAGCTTTGTGTCACAAACTGTATAAAAGGCACCTCCCCTGGCTCAGCGCCCAGCCTAGTCTCAAGCATTCCTAGTGGCTGGGACAGCGCACCACTAAAGTCCCCTTGAAAATCCCTCCCTGTCTCTCCAGTTTCTTGGAAATTCCGCAACAAGGCCACCTCCCGTCATGACCCGGGCAGCGCCAGACACCGGGGCCTGTCCTCACACCTCTGAAATGACCCTTGCCAGCCCGTCCTGCCCACCTACCCCTCACTCCTGCCTCCTGGTCCATCTGGGCTTCCCTGGGTGACCCCGAGGGCCGTGTCTTTCTGGGGTTCA